GTGCCAAGTTCACATAGTGAACCCCAGGCATCTGTGCTTGCCCTCTCAGAGGGGCAGTGAAAGAATGGTGACTGGTCTCAGGGACACAGTCTGCAGGGGGCCAGCCTCAGCATCAGGCACTACCCTGAACTGCTCGGAGGGAGTCTGGTTTCTGTAGACATTAAGCTACATTTCTTTTCTCTTTCTTTTCCACCCCCCAAATTGTGGTAAGATAACATTTGCCATTTTAATCATATTTTAGATAAACAATTCAGTGGTATTAAGACAATTCACATTGGTTGTGCAATCACCTCCGCCATCCACCTCCAGAATCTTTTCCTCTTCCCAAACTAAAACTCTGTGCCCATGGAACAGTAACTCCCCATCCTCCCTCCTCCCCTCAGCCCTTGTAACCTCTATTCTACTTTCTGTCTCTACCAATCTGACTCCTGGGGTACCTCACACCAATGGCATCATACTGTGCTTCTGCTTTCATATCTGGCTTACTTCACTTAGCGTAATGTCCTCAAGGTCCATCCACGTTGGAGCAGGTGTCAGAATCTCGTTCCGTCTAAGGCTGAATAACATTCCACCATGTGCATAGACCACCTTTTGCTTATCCATTTATCCACCCATCGATGGACACTTGGGTTACTCCCATCTTTTAGCTATTGTGAAACATGCTGCTATGAACATGGGTGTGCACATATCTGAGTCCTGCTTTCAATTCCTTTGGGTGTACACGCGGAAGTAGAATTACAGTAATTCCATTTAAAAAATTTTAGCAGCCAGCAGCAAGCTGCATATCTTTTTATGTTTTTTTTCTCTCCCCACCCCCCACTTCCAATTACAGCCCAATAACCTCAGTGGCCAACCCCACTCCACATTCCTGGACGGCCTATGGCTAGCCCAGGAGTTGAAAAGCAATTTCCTCCATCTTTTCTTTAAACTTCAGCTGCAGAAATCACCTGATTGAAGATTACAGAAGAACCCTCTCCCACACAGGAAAGAAACTGCTCAGGAGCCCAGCCCACCATAATTACAGGCTTTTTTAACCAGGATTCTTGGCAAATGCTCAAATTGCACATCAACCTTACTTTTCTTATGAAGTGTTTGGAAACAAGTTAACGGGCTTGGAGGTAACAGCTCTTTCCCCTCGTTATAAACAACGCAAGCTAGAACCTTACGGATTTGGATTCAGGAGAACAATGGCTTTGTCTAGATATATATCAGCTCAGTCTGCATTCTCTCATTATTCCAGCCAGTGCTTTTTATGAAAAATGTCACCCAGCTGGATTTCCACTCATAGCCATGGTTCTGAACCTGACTGAGCATTAGAAATATCTGGGGTGCTTCAGAAACATATCGAGCCCAGGCCCCCCCGCACAGTCTAACTGAATCATAGTCTCTGGGATAGGGTGTGCCCCCTGGTAGCATTTTAAAGTTCCCAGCTGATTCTGAAGTGCAGCCAGGGTCGAGAATCCTTACCTACGGGGACAGGGAGGCCTGCAATCTTTCCTTGTCTATAAAGAACATTTTCAATGGGCTTTTAACCTGAGGAGAGGGAACCCTGAGCCAGGGGCCCAAACCCGTGTTTAAAAGAGAGAAGCAAGTCTTCCATGAACGGAGAACACAGGCCTTGTCTGAGGGGTGCAGCTGACGACAACCACCTCAGGTAGGGTGGGTCCAATGAGAGATGTGGGGGGTGCGGGGTTGGGGGTGCCGCTCCAGTTTGAGGCTTCTGCCTAATGGGGTTTATGGGTTTCAAAAAACCTCGGAACTACATGCAAAACTTTCTGTCCCCTCTGTATTTTTCTAAGGTGGGTCATCCAGAGTTCACATCACATTCTCGGAAGCTCTGTCACACCCCCCCACCCCCCACCCGGGAATGAATAACCCCCGCTTTTACCATAGTGTTCCACGAGGTGGTATATAACGCAGTTACTGAAAATAAAGAGTTAGATGCTTTCTCATTTACGTTCACCTGGAAGGACTGAACCCACTCATTGTTAATGACGCAGAAGCACGTTTCAGAGTGATGTCCACAGAATGGTCTGGAAGCCCCACAAGAGCAGAGATGGTCTGTTTTGTTCACGGCTGCATTCCAGTACTTGGAGACAGTGTCCAGCTCAGAAAAGGTGCTTCATGCACACTTCTTGAACTAATGATCACCTTTTTTTTAAAGAACTGAATCCTCTACATGTGGATGATGTTTGTGGGAACAAGGAGAAGTGTGTGGAATGATTCACACCTGGACATTAAAGGTGCTGGCTTCAGAGAGCAGGGAGTGGAAGGGGGATGATGAAGACAGTAAGATTTCCTTTTAATAAGAGTTAACAGCCCTGGCTGGTTTGGCTCAGTGGATAGAGCGTTGGTCTGCGGACTAAAGGGTCCTGGGTTCGATTTCGGTCAAGAGCACATGCCTGGGTTGCGGGCTCAATCCCCAGTTGTGGGTGTGCAGGATGCAGCCAATCAGTGATTCTCTCTCATCGTTGATGTTTCTCTCTCTCTCCCTCTCCCTTCCTCTCTAAAATCAATAAAAATATATATTTTTAAAAAAGGTGCTAGGCACAGTGCTCAGCATCCCCCTCATTTAATTCATGCTACAATCCTTTGAAATGCTGTTGTACAGCGATCGCCATTTTACAGATGAGAAAAACCTAAGCACACAGATCTTATCCAAGGCCACAAACCCAAGGGTCAGGCACCCCCCTCCCCCACATATAGCCCATGCATTTCACCCCTCTGCTCTTCTGATTCCTTGTCCTTACACACCTTGAGTTGTGTCATTCATTATAATACCCATGTGCTACATTCTTCATGAAATATAACAGTGTCAGGGCTTTCCATATGGGCTCTCAATGACCTCCACCCCCACTCCCGCGACCAGTGTAACATTAAGTCCTTGATTCTCGGTAGGGATTTAGGAATCGATGTTCCTTGCTTGGATCTGATTTTGGTTCAATATAGAGTGGACCCTTGAACAAAGCCGGAGTTAGAGGTGCCGACCCCATGCAATCAGAATCTACGGGTAACTAGTCAGCCCTTCACATCTGTGGATTCCTGTGTATCGAAAATACAGTTGCCCCCTGAATGACACAGGTTTGAACAGCGTAGGTTCACTTACACACAATTTTTTCAATAAATACTTACTGAATAAAGTATAAATACTAAATACTTATTGAAATCAACAAGTATTTATTGAATAAGGTTTAACTGTAGTTCCCACTGCCTGCCCTCCAACATTTACAGATTCAATGGAAGGTCTTGTGTTTGACCTAAAATCTCAGGGACAGCAGGGTCCTTGGACAGCAGCCACACAGGCTGCATCAGATAGAATCGGTACACTACCTGCTTAGGGCAGGCATCCCCTAATTGGCTGCAGACTCTCCTGCTGACGGGCCCTGAGAAAGCTCAGAACCAACCTGCCTGGAGGGGTCTCGGAGCATGGAACATTTCCAGTCTTGGTGATGAGAAACAGTAAGCTCCTGCAGAGGAAGCCCTGCATGCAAGGGGGTTTCAGCCATGGCCTGCTTCCTTGGAGACCTGCAGCCAAGGACTCTAGACTAGATCTAAACCAATGAGAGCTGCCAATTACCCCAGAGCAGGACTCCTCAAAGTATGATGTCCGATCCCCGATGCCAGCACCACCTTGTGCTTGAGGAAATGCAGATCCTTTGATCTAACAAGAGTTAACAAGACCAGAGCTTGATTCCTAATTCTACCAGCATGAGATGCTGGGTGGGTTGTTAAGCCTCAGTCCTCAGCCCTATAAATTGATGAGGATGATACTGACTTGACAAGGTAGGATCTAATGACTATTAACAGTAATATCAGTGAAGCCCCTGCCGTGAGTAGAACACAGGATGTAATAACCATTACTACTATGAACTCTAACCATGTTGTGGTGGGCAGCTTCTAAAAGGACTCCCAATAGGTTCTACCTTCCAGTAGTCATGCCCTTGTACAATACCCTCCCCTTGAGTGTGAGCTGGACCAAGTGAGGTGCTTCTAATGAATAAAAGGGATAGGGTGTCATTTCTGAGATTAGGTTACAAAAAGGCTCTGGCTTCCACCCTGCTCACCCTCTCTTGCTCCCTCACTTGCCCACCCTGATGGAAGGCATCTGCCATGCTGTGAATTGCCCTATGGTAAAGCCCATGTGGTGAGGAACTGAGGCAGGTCAACTGGTCAACACCCAGTAAGGATCAGATCCCCAGTCTAACAGCTGCAAGAAACTGAATTCTGCCAACAACTATGTCAGTGAGCTTGAAAACAGATCCTTCCCCAGTTGAGCCTTCAGATGACAGTGCAGCCCCAGCCAATACCTTGACTGCAGCCTATCAGAGAACTTTGGCTAGAAGCATCCAGCAAAGGTATTCCTGGATTCCTGACTCATAGAAACTATGAGACAATATATGTTCATTGTTTTAAGCCACTACATTTTAGAGTGATTTGTTATGCAGCAGTGGATAACTAGTATGCCCTGGAAACAATAGATTAAATCCAACCAGAGTGGCCTCTACTTAAACATGAAGTCCTCTGGGAAGCCTTTCAAAATCCTCCTCTCTGAGGATTCTGAGGCCCCTATTTTCTCATGTTTCCCTATTAGACAGTAAGCTACTTGAGTAGTATCATCAAAACTTACATAGTGAGCACTTATTATTATTCCAAAGTTGTAAGTCACTTCATCTTTACAACAAACCTAGAAGCAAATACTACTATTACCCACATCTGATAGCTGAAGAAACTGAGGCTCAGACGGGTTAAGTAACTTGCTCAAGGCTTTAGTAATTATGAGGAAGTATCAGGAAATATGGTTCCAAAATTTGTATTTGTAACAATTATGCTATGTGGCCCTAAGAGTCTTGCTTAAGTTCACAAAGGGTAAGTAGATTCAAAACTAGGTAGCTGAACACCAGACATGAAGGTTTTAAATATTACCCTTTCTAGGTGCCTTCTACCTCTAGGATAATAACTTGAACACACCTCACCTGGGGGAGTCATCAGGGTCTACCTACCTGTAAACACTAGGCTGGCGTTTTCCAGTTCTTCTTGGGGAACTTTGAAGCTGAAGGATTCATTATAGAAAGGATCAATTGTGCCTCGTAAGAAGGATGTCTTTTTTGTTTTCACAAGCTTGAGTCCATGTACCAGCTGGATTTTCACAAAGGGGTCTGAGAATTGGATACAACATCACTGAATGTTAGAGATCATGAAATCCAATCCACCCATCCATTCATCCACTCAACTTCCCATCCATTCATTCTGTTACTCATTCATTCCTCCTTCCTTCTTTCCATCCATCTTCCCATCTGACAACCCAACCATCTACCTACCCCTCCTTTCATTCATCCATTTTTCTATCTATTTTTCTATCTATCTATCTATCTATCTATCTATCTATCTATCATCTATCTATTTTTCATTCCTCCTTTCCCCTTCCTCTCTTCCTTGAGCCATCCAATATTTATTGAGCTCCTCCTATGTGTCGGGTATTTTACAGATGAAGAAACTGAGGACTCAAGCTGAGAAATGATTTGCTTAAGATCTGGCTAGTGGAGAAAGAGCCAGACCCAGAGCCTGTCCTGGCTTCTGTTCTAGAAACCCATTATCATGTCAGAATAGAGAAGGCAGAATTATAACTATCATTCTTAGATCACTTTACAGTGTACAAAGAGATTCATGTAAATTATACAACTGAATATTGTTTAAACAACCCAATGAGAAGAATACTGTTATTATGTCAGTTTTTCAGGTAGAGAAATTGAGGCTTTTAGAGGTCAAATAACTTCCCCAAGGCTATGTTATTAGCAAGCAGTAGAAATGGGATTTGGTTCCAGGCAGTTTGACTCTGAAACCCTTAATCATTTTATCATACTGACTCTCCAGCCTTAATAACCATTCCTTCCATTGGCCCCTTCGAAACCTGCTTTTGTAATGTGATTTTTGAGAATGCAAACTGTCTTCTAAATTCAGCTGTCACCTTATAGCAAAAGTAATTTATTTTAGCTATTGCATTTAGAGAAGACAGTATTTCCACCTCTGAGCTGAAGAGATCCCAGCGACCATGGCTGCGTTCATGATAATATCCTTGCTGTCACTGGAGAAGCTACATACAGATGGAATGTAATCTGTTCCATTTCATTAAAAGTCATGTTTGAATTGGTTTGCTATAAAATAGACACTTTAAATATGACAGTCTTTTCAGAGCTTTTATTTATAAAGATTTATGGTACATTTGAAATGAGCTGGGGGGAAAAACCTTAGGGTGTGTACACCACTCTCCCTGAGTAGGATGCAAGGCCAATGCACACTAACGCCACCTGGAGGATGGTGTCTCTATTGCAGGCATAGCAAGTCACTTCCTCCGGGGCAGCATGTGTACAAAGAGAATCTAAATTTCAGTAGTTATCACACCTGGTCTCAGTCAAATCCCCAATTCAAAAGGGATTATGAGATGGCATCATTTACCTGCCTCATTTAAAGAGAGGTGTGATTATTTATTTTTCCTCTTGAACTAACATCCTAGTTCTGGATACTGTCTATCCTCACAAGATCTTATTAATATTATCCAGGATGGTCTGGCTCTTTCTCCACCAACCAGGTCTTAGGCAAATCATTTCTCATCTTGAGTCCTCAGTTTCTTCGCCTGTAAAATGCCCGACACATGGGAGGAGCTCAATAAATACTAGATGGCTAGAGGAAGAGAGGAAGGGAAAAGGAGGAATGAAAAACAGATAGATAGTTGGGAAAATGAATGAATGAAAGGAAGGGTGGGTGGGAAGATGGATGGATTGATGGAAAAATAGATGAAAGGATGGGTAGGTGGTTGGGCTGTCAGATTGTCAGAAAAAGAAAATCAGGTCCTTTGTGTCAAACACACACAGTGCCCTGTTGAAGAAAAGGGGGAAGGAGGGAGTCACACTGTACCTGAACCTTGGCTCACATCTGTCTGAAGAAGCTGCTTGGCTCGAATGACATCAACGTTTAGTCTCCCAGCACTTGGGAGATAATTCAGTGACAGAAGTAGCTCCCCCAGCTCCACTTCATTCTGCAGAGAAAGGAAATAGTCGGGAAGTTGCTTTTTTCTTTTATTTCGCACCTATTGCACAGGAAATTGATCCAGAAGCTCACAATTGGGCTTCTGTGGGTGGATCAGTTGACAGTGGGTACCGTTTTCTTTGACTTCTTTTAGCCTCTGATCCCAATTATTTTTTTCTATCTCAGAAAGTTTTTTTTCTGCTCTTAGAACACTTCACAGCAACAACAACAACATGATACCAAAAGCATCAACAGTGATAATAAATAAATGCTACAGGTCAATCAAGTATTGTGCTAAACACTTTACATAGAATAACTGGTTTAATTTACATAATAAGTTTTACATAATTTAATCTACATAATATCTCATAATGTGAGATATGAGTATTACTCCCATATAACAGATGAGGAAACTGAGCCTCAGAGGGATTAAATACTTAGCTGGAAAGTGATAGTGCTGGCATTTGGATGCAGGAAGACTAATTCCAGATAGTATGACCACTATGGTTAATAATTTGGATTTTTACGTGTTTATATATGTTACTATATTTCTATTGGATTTTCAATCTTTTGTTACAAGAGAACTTAAAAAAAAATAATTTGGATTTCTAAAAAAAGTAGTGAAGAGTCCTCTTACAAATATCGTTAACCTCACTTATTGTGTGTGTGTTTGTTAAGTGGGAAAGACAATGTTGGCTTTCCCGTCAGGTAGGACAGGCGTGTGCTCCGGGCCCCCTAAAAGCAGGGTATATCCCTCCACCTCCACTTCAAATAAAAAGAGAGAAATATTATTTTTTCACAAGAATGGGATACTTGGTATTTCAGAAATAATACTGATGTAATCATTGTGGGAAACTTAGACCACTGCAATGACTTGTAGTTGACAATTATCCTAATCGACATAGATGAGAAGCTCCGTAATTTTCAGGGCTTGGAGTATCAAGGTCATATCTTAACCCAGCCCTGGACAAAGTGAGGGTCCTCACTTCCTGTGCCCCAGAATGTGTGACACCTATGAGCAACAGCATCTATGTGGCATCAAAAACTGCAGCTCCAAACAGCCTGAGGACAAAACTGTCCCCGGAGGGTTCCTGAGGCCAGTGTCTTCTTAGTCTCTCTTCCCTAGAAGATGCTACATTTAAAAGCTGACCAGCAGCCAGCTGGTAAGAAACTTAGGATGTGGGAACAGAAAGCAGGACCACCTACTCCAGTAGCTCCCCAACCTGACCCCTGCCCTGAAGGATCATGGAATTTATGGCGATCTTTGTGCTATGAAGTATTGGCATATCAGACTTATATCAACCTGGGGCAATTTTATCCCCGCCCCTCCACCTCCAGGGACATGTGGCCATGTCTGGAGATATTTTTGGTTGTCACAACTGGGGAGAGGGTTGCTATTGACATCTAGTGGGTGGAAGCGCAGGACACCCCCCTCGCCCCCCGAACCCCACACAGAATGATCTCGCCCAAAATGTCAATAGTGCTGAGGCTGAAAATGTTAACTGAACCTGTGAACCTTGGGCTGATTCAGACTCTTCTCTTTACATGGTTCTAGCCTGAACAAGTGTTAGCAGCAACCAAAGGAAGAGGCCACAGCACCAGCTGCAAGCCAAAGATCAAGCTTCAATTTCCATCCTTTATCCTCCTCCTCAGGGCTTCCTCTGCTGTGAGCAGAAACCCAAGCACCAGACACAAAACTCCCCCAGGAAGTAGGCTCAGCTGCCCCGAGGAGAATGGATTGCTTATTCTGGGAGGATCTACAACCCTTTGAAGTCTCCCTTCTCCTGTCCAAATGTAGTCAGGTAAGGTTGTCAGACCTGGAGTAATGTGGTCCAATACTCCAGGTTTCTAAAGGAAAACGGAACCAGCCCATTTTCCCACTTCCCTGCTTAACACCTGCCATCACTCTTAGAATGAAATCCAAAATCCTTAGCCTGGTCTGCAACAGGCTTTGTCAATCTTGGTCCAAAACGTGTTAGGGGTGTCGTCCTGGTCTCTACCCACTATATGCCAAAAGCCTACTACCCCCCAACTGTAACAACCCAAAATGTCTCTACACATTACAAAACGTCCCTTGAGGGGAAAATTGCCCACTTGAGAACCATGGGTCTACCAGGATCTAAATAATGTGGTCCTGCCTACATCTCAGACCTCACCTATTCCTTGAAAACACAAGACATCACTCTGTGTTTGCACCTGCTGTGCCCTCAACTTGGGAATCTCAATGGAAATGCCACCACCTCATCTAGGTTTCCACCAGCACCCAGTGAAAAACAGTTCCCTGCCTCCATCGCTTTCCACCACATCACCTTGCTTACTTCTCCCGTGGTGCTCTGTCCTTCAGTGTCCATCTCGCCACCACTACACTCATAGCACCTGAACGACTTCAACAGATGACCATGAGAACAGGCTGCGCAGCCCCGACTGGCGGCTCTGCTGCCACATGACGACGGTTCCAAGGGAGTCATGGGCATGATGTCTGTCCCCTGCCCTATCCAACCTCAAAAGAACGGGAGCTGAGGTGGGAGAAGGAACTGGGTGCCACTTCTACTTTTTCCTTCTCAAGGCAATGTCACAAATAAACAGGCGTTGTTTCCTTTTTTAAGATCCTGATGAGCTTAATTTGGTTGAACCACGTGGGGTAGCTTGGGAGAACCGAAATAGACTGTAAATTACTAAAATGAATCCAGAAGGCCCCCTGCAAGCTCCCAGCAGCCGGCTCGTACAGACACTCCCTCTCTTCCCAGACAAAAATTCTCTCTCCCTGCAGCCTTTGAACGCAGCTAAGTTCTAATCAATAAAAAGGAAATCAAAGAAAACCATCAGGGACAAAAGGCACTTTCTGGGGAAAACAACAGCCCGGCTCTCCTGCCGTGCTTCCTTTGAAGTACTTCTAAAGGGCCACCTTGCTCTCTCACCCAGCAGAGGGTTTCAGATACGTGCACACACTTTTACCACTGCCCGAACGCGCTGCTGTGAGCTCCCCTGCCTTTGTTCCCATGGGTTGGGAGAAACACTTTGTCTCTGCTACACAAATAACATTAAAATAGGAATGCGTTTTATTTATTTACTTACTGAATATCCATTTCTTTTTTTTAAATATATTTTTGATTTCAGAGAGGAAGAAAGAGGGAGAGAGAGATAGAAACATCAATGATGAGAGAGAGTCTTGATCAGCTGCCTCCTTCACACCCCACACTGGAGATCGAGCCTGCAACCCAGGCATGTGCTCTGACCAGGAATCGAACCGTCACCTCCTGGTTCATAGGTCAATGCTCAACCACTGACCCACACTGGCGGGACAGGAATGCATTTTTATTATTTTATTTTTATTTATTTATTATTATTATTATTTTTAATCCTCACCTGAGGATATTTTCCCATTGATTTTTAGAGAGAGTGGAAGAGAGAGGGAAAGACAGAGAGAAACACTAATGTGAGAGAAACACATCGATTGGTTGTCTCCTTCCCGAGCCCCGATCAGGGCCTGGGCTGGGGAGGAGCCTGCAACCAAGGTACATGCCCTTGACGGGAATCGAACCTGGGACCCTTCAGTCCTCAGGCCAATGCTCTATCCACTGAGCCAAACCGGCTAGTACAGGAATGTGTTTTTTAAAAGCAAAATCCAGCCATAATCTCAGCACTTTACACATTTTATCAAATGCTTTCTTTTCTCCAGCCCGCTCCCCTTCAGGTTGTTTTCCAGTCCTTGTCATACAACCAAACTATATTTGCAGAGCTGCACTGACAACACAGGCGAGTTCTGAGATCTCCCCCCGCCCCCTTTAAATTAAATAGACACTCATTTTCCATTACTACTTAGACATGGAAAGTATAATTTTTAATATCTACACAGAATATTCCATTAGGCTGAAATACTGTAATTTACTTTAAGCTTTTTCCTAGTGTTAGGAAGTTAGGTTATTTCTAATGACCTAAAACCGGCACTTTGACATCTTTTATTTTTTTAGATTACATCATTCTAATAAAGCCCAGGGTGAGATCACTGGGTCAAAGAATATATCAAGATATATAAAAAATACTCAGATCTTTTTCTCCCACTCAATGTGGATTGACAAAGCACTGGCCAAAAGGGCTAAAATAACCTTATGGCCAGAGAGAGAAGACAGAGCCAGCACTGGGTGGTAACATTCTGACAAATGGCCTTGATCAGGGTGGTTGTTAAGTATTTTTTGTTTGCATTTCTTTGAATATCTAGGCATATATTGAAATACTAATTGCATTTCCTGTTTTGCACGGAAACGATGACTTTCTGATTTCTGGTGTGAGTTCAACGCCCCTCTCACATGTACATGGTGTGGCTACAAGGTCTGTTTCACACAGGATTGTTGTCTGTTACGGTCAGGCTTTCTAATGATTCCCGCCCCCTGGGTATTTTATTGTGGACTTCGCTTGTATGTCCCTGACTGCTTAAAAGGCTCAGCATCTTTTCAGGCTTATCAGCTTTTCATGCTTTCTCTTCTTTGAAAACCCTGTTTGTTTCATATCACCCATTTTTTCTATTGGGTATTTGTCATTCTCTTATTAATTTATAAATATGCTTTTAAATATTATGGATACTACTAAATTATTCACCAGTTTTGTGTTGTTATGGGTTGAAATGTGTCTGGCCAAAGTCCCTGTGTTTAAGTCCCAACCTCCAATATCTCAGAATGTGACCTTATTTGAAAATGTAATCAATTTAGATGAGGTCCTACTGGAGTAGGGTGAGCCTCTAATCCAGTGGTTCTCAACCTTGGCTGCACATTAGAATCACCTGGGAATCTTTTTAAAATCCTGATTTCTGGGCCTCATCCTTCCAATATGAATGGTGTCCTTATAAAAGGGAGGAACTTGGACACGGACACACCCAGGGAGAAGACCACGTGAAGACTGAAGTTATGCTGCCACAAGCCAAGGTACTACCAGAAGCAAAGAGAGAGGCTGGAACAGATCCTTCCAAGGACCTTCAGAGGGAGCATGGCCCTGGCCCACACCTGGCTCTCCAAC